GCTGAGTTTAGTTGATTGCTTTCCTTTCCCTCACCTTCTGAGGACTTAGGAAAAGGGCAACGTTCTGTTCTCTACCTTTTGTCTGTTAAAAATCGTGTATCTGCTGAACTGTCTGTTGTCCTTACTGTGATTAAATGGTGCAAATGGAGGAAATAAGATAAGTCTTGATGCATTCAGGGTCACGGTTGTCTCAGCACTCGTTTAAGTGAAGCGGATTTTCTCCCATTGAATTTATTTTACAGAGGAAATGTTGAAGACATCCTGATAACTGCTTTCTCTGCCCGTGATGTCTGGAGCCTTTTTTCCTCTGTATGAATGAGATCTAAAAGTTGTGGATTTGTAGGGCTGGGGGGATCGACAGGCAGCTTGGTTATTTAAATAGTTATGGATTCTCAGAACAACTCTGCAAGTAACCACATGCCCATGTCCTGATGTACACACTGCACATGATAGATCTGTGGTGTTTATTTCATTTTAAACACATGTGTTTGAAATAATGGTTCTTACGATTCTCTGATTAATCTGCACCGTATAACACAAGAAAGGATAGCAGAGACCAAACCCCAGAATTTGTGGTTGGATAAAAATAGTGGTGTGACACRTGGAATCATGGGCAAGTAAATAAAACTTCAGTATTTACAGGTACCAGTAAAAGTTGTTCCTGATGATATTTCAATAACAAATACATTTTTTCTCAGATACTGAGAGATTTGAGTGGCTTGATATTTTAAATATTTCTAGCTACCTCATAACCAGTATTGAGGCAGTCATCAGCTAAACAAATGCATTTATGCTGTTATATATTGTATACATCAAAAAACCTCCTAAGAATGTTCTATAGAATAGCTTMATTCAGCACCTTTTTTCTTTTCTCTCAAGAATCGGGATTTCATCCAAACTCTAAAGGTTAAGTTGTGGATAGAACTCAAAGGATGTTTTGTTTCCATTTGTAGAACTAGTTTAATGTTTTTCAAGGCCTCCATGTACACCAACAATGCTATCAGTCAGTGTCAGGGGAGCTCAGCAGCACATTCTCAAAGTTCTCCTCACAGGAGTCAAATTGTACTGAAAACTAATTCAGGAAAAGAGCAGCTCTTTTCACTGCAGGAGTTACTTAGCACAGCGTAATAAATATTCAAATACAGATGTAATGTTCCACTTTCAGGATCAGAGATGATGATGAGAACAAAGTCCATGGTTCAATCAGTTTAATAATTACATTGTTAAAGCGTTCTTCTTGAAGCTTCATGAAATTTTCGTGAAACATTATTGGTGTCTGAAAAAGCAAGTGCCATGAATTTGATCAGCTAAACCTGTGATTTGGAGTACTGCAGAGCATCACTTGAACTCCCACAGTAACAAGGGGCTGAACTATTGAATGTTACCAATTTCTGCRCTCTAAAGGAAAGTGATTAATAAATACTGGATTTTATGTTTGTGTGCTTTTAGTGATGTAAGGTATTATATATTCTAATTCTTCCCAGCTGTTAAACAGCAGAAATGGAATCGGGAGCGTGCAGCTCTAAGCTCTTTGACTTCATAGGTATTTTCATTTCACATGTATATACAAGCATGATTTTTGATTTTGGCTTTGAAYAAAGCAAAGTTTTTTGCTGTTTTTATTAACAGTGGGTAGTGTCGGCATGTAATTAAATTGCTGTGCAACTGTTGTGGCTGAGGCACCGTTTGTTTTGAGGTGTCCATGGGGTACCATGAGTGCTTTGCAACAGCTGTGGACACAGAATGGCTCCACCAGATTACTCTGAAGTGCCAGCAAGTGCTGTGGAAGTGCCTGAAGAACAGGCAAAACTTTTCCYTTTCAGAGAGGAAAGCTCTTCATACCAAAAATTTAGTAGAGCATGTACCTTGTGATGTCTGATTTTGGTGTAAAATGAAAATACTGCTGTAGATTTTAGTTATTCTCTCCCGATTTTCCCTCCTCTGTCAGAAATCACAGTGCYTGGAAAAGAACCAGCTGTTTCAGCAGATGATTTTCTCAGTATCTTTTAAWGGTAGTTTATTATATTTATCACTAGAGTGGAGTTTGAAAATTTGGCAGTAGGTATGGGATAAAGCTGCATGTTAGTTAAAGAAAACACTTCATAGCACATCAGAAGCAGAACCTTTGAAWAGTGAAATGCACTTAGTGAGTACCACAGGTACTCTCTGGAAAAAGTGTGTGATTAGATAATTAACTGTGGTGTCACCATGCACAGCCACAGGGAAGCCAGGAAAAGCTAGCCCTGAGTTAACTGTGTTCATTGTGTTAAACTTTCCACATTRTTTTTATTTTTTTGGGTAATGTGAACATAAGCTGGAAAAAAAGTCTGAGACAACTGCCAGCCTAATGACATTGATGCTTTGTCTGTGTAGTCTGGTGTGTTAACTGTTGATGCCAATCAAAAATTCTCTCCAGACATTTTCTGGTTCGTGCTGGAGTGAAGCTCATTGTCTTTGGCAGGATGTGATTCAGATCATAATTKAACTCAGTCCCATTTTCACTGAAGTTTGAATTTAACAGAGCTGTAAACAAGTGACAAGCCATGAAAATTGGGCTTTCCTACTGAAACGATGTGATTTTTGTAAGAGAAGTGACTGTCTCTTACATGTTTGAAGGTAGCACCTATATCATGGGGAATGCTGCAGTCTCCTTGATGAGTTACAATTATCAAATGCATAGATGAAGGCGTGACATTAGGACTTGTTGTTGTATTTTCTGYAAAGTCTTTTCATGTTGTGATGAGAACAGAAATTTTGAAATTTTCCRGTCTATGATGAGAGAAGGGGAAAAGCAGCGTGGCAAAGGAATCCATTCAGTTGCATCTAAGGACAGAACAGTGTATTCTCATGCAGTTGTKTTGTGTTGTGTTGTGCAAATAACAGCCATGGAGAAGACGTAATGTCTGCAAAGAAATATTTTGCTAATCATCAAAAGGAATGCTTAATGAAGGATTCTTARCAGGGAGTATTCTTGCTTTCAAATTCTCTTTCAATATCCAAGAGACCACATAGCGTATGTACGGGGTTTTTTATTAAGGTAATCCAAAATGTTTCTGATGTACAATAAATTCTTCCTGCTTTTAGGATTAGAAGGATGACAGTGACAGAAGTGCATCCTCAGGTCTGCAGAGTCAGCAGGTCCTGCTTTTAGGATTAGAAGGATGACAGTGACAGAAGTGCATCCTCAGGTCTGCAGAGTCAGCAGGTCCTGCTTTTAGGATTAGAAGGATGACGGTGACAGAAGTGCATCCTCAGGTCTGCAGAGTCAGCAGGTCCTGCTTTTAGGATTAGAAGGATGACGGTGACAGAAGTGCATCCTCAGGTCTGCAGAGTCAGCAGGTCCTGCTTTTAGGATTAGAAGGATGACGGTGACAGAAGTGCATCCTCAGGTCTGCAGAGTCAGCAGTGCTGTACAGGGTGACCTTGGTGGCACAGGCACAGGGCAGTGTTTGGGCTGGCTGGGCTCTGAACCACCTGGCCACAGTTGCTCTGTGGTGGCACTCCCCAGCCAATCCTCCCACCATTCCAACAGCTGCCATGAGCTGCTGTGAAACACTGCCTAATTATAGGATTTTCTTGATCCCCTTGATCCCCTTCAGAGATTCCTTGCCGCACCCTTGGCCAGACTCTTGAGGCAAGGCACTCGTGAAGGTATGGCAGTGGCACTGCTGCTGCTGCTTCCATCCTTAGGCTGGAGGTGGTGTTTCCAGAGAATTGCCCTGCAGCACCCTGAGCGAGCTCAGACAATGGACTCGAATGTCGTGGCCCTGAGTCAGTTCTCTTAAATGTAAAAAACTTTCCATCTGTATGAAGCCATATCTGCCGCATCACACAGTGTCAGAGCGCTGTGGACCGCCTCTGACTTCCCATGCACTTCCTTTGTGGGCTGTTTTTGTTTACAGGGAGCAGAGGGACAGGGAGAAGGTTGGGCAATGCCTTGGCTCTGCTCCAGCAGATGTAAACAGATTTCCCAGTGTTTGSCTTTGGTGCTGCAGCCCGAGCCAAGGGCTGGAGGTGCTCCAAGGCAGTGYGAGCGTGGATCCCTTGGAGTCAGAGCAGGAGCAGAGTCAGTCAGGGCTCTGTGAGTCACAGCAGCTTCWCTTTGATGTGGCTCACTCCTGAAATCCCTGCTCAGTCCCTGTGTTTAAGCCCTGATCAAAGACCCCAGAAAAGCTCGACTCTGTTAGGCAAACTCCATGTTTGTGTTATTTCAGGTGACGGTGCGCTTGCAGAATAATAGTTCATCCTTCTCAGTTCTCCTGAAACCTTTTGAGATTAGTAGCTCTGGATTTCCTAATAACAGGAAAACCAAACGGTCTRAAAATAGAGCCCACTGAGACACATTTGTTGTTGGAGCGAGAACAAGCAGAAGGAGAACGGGTGTCCTTCGTGCTGCTGCTTGCTGGTTTGAACTCATGAGATGTCTGCAGTGGAAATCAGGGATTGGAGCCTTGCAGTTACACAATGAGGGACACAGCAGCAGCACAAATTCAGAAGAGCATTGACATTTCCAAGTGGGAGGCAGACACCCAAACAGGAGGTRTTTAACAAAAGCCTAAGGTGCAGCAGGTGGAGCAGTATCGTGAWGTCTTACAAAACAGGACTTCCATGGCACTATGCCTGTTTATATACTATATCGGGTATTTTGTGTTTTGAGCTTGTRTCTTTTCTTTCTCAGCCACATAGAAAAAATCACAACATGGCAAGATCCTCGAAAGCCCATGAGCCAGCAGATGAACCACGTCAGCCGCCACCCCGCAGCCACGTCCGCTCCGATGCCGCAGAGATCCATGGCAATGTCTCAGCCAAACCTCAGTGAGTACTGCATTGCATCTGGCTAGTGAAAACACACAGGAGACAGAGCAGACACCTCCTCATTTGTTTGTTAAAGTCCTAATTTTGGTTGAAGAAAGTAGCCCTGATTCTGCAGTCAGACCTAACAGGATGTTCTCCCCTTCATTTGCTTAATTTTCCCCACTGTAGACTCGGCAGCAAGTGAGTTTGTACCATTTGAGAAGTTCTAGCATCTCATGTTCTGTTTTAGAGCCTCCATGTCTTTTTGATGTATGAAATATAGAAAAATAAGTTCTGTCTGTGCTTTTCTGTTGTGATGTAAAGCCCCACGAGTCTCCCATGTCGTGTCCAAGCTGTGGGATAACCTGTCCACAGGCAGCCCTGTGTTTCTTCAAGTTAGAGGGTGTAGCTGGTTTGTTTGTTAGTTGGTTTATAATGGTGATTTTCTGCACTGGAAGCAGCTTGAAAAATACTAAAAAGTCTGCTTTGCAGTATGAGTTACCTACACAATTCTTATGACAGGTGTGGTTCCCTTGCTGTTCCTCCTGTTAAGCACCTCAAGTATAAATTTGTCCACTTACATCAATCTGATATTGCCAGTTCAAAACATATGTTGACTGCAGTTTCCGGTACTAAAGTAGAATGTCTCTATTTTTAAATTGCCAAAAGGAAAGACCTTTCTGCTCCTCTTTGCTGTCAGCAGTGTAATGCTAAAACCCTCAACTCAGCAGCACTGCTCTTCTGCTCCTAATTTTGTGACTTTGCAGCAAATGAATCTCTGCTAAGTCTCTTTTGCCTTAGCTTTTGGTTTTGGGGTTTTGTTGGTTTTTTTTGTACCATAGGAATTAAAGGAAGTTTTTCTTTTGAAGATGTGCCACTTAAAAGAATTTCAGTATTTCAGGTCTGCACCCTGGTCTGCACTTCCAATTACTAACATGTGTGTTTTCCTTTTTGTACTTCTTACGAAGAGGAGGAAAATATGATCTGTTTTAAGGACAGTGGTAACAGTTCCAGAGTCTTACAGGAATTAACTTCAGTGTCAGGTAAATTAAATCCAGATGTGTCAAAGGACACAAAGGTTTAAACCAGCAGCTGACCATCTAGTAAATCTGAAATGTTAAAGGTTGATGCGTTCAAGGGAGATGTTGGGATTTTTTCAAGTTCCAATAGTTCTAAATCTGGACACAAAGAAGTTCCCRTTGGTGTGAGCATTTCCCCTCAAGGTTAATAATCCAAACGTGTGCCAGTGCAAGAGTCATTTCCAAAGTTTCAAAGAGTCATTTCCGTAGTTTCGAAGTGAATGAAAGGCAAAAGCTGAAGACTACATGAGGCAAAAGTAAAAATAAGTTATTAAATACTTTAAATCTTACAGTCATGAGTAATTAGTCATTAGCATTAAAGCTGTCTCTCCACTCAAGCAGCCCCCATCGTTATTTGTTACTGATTTATTGTTAAAAGTGCTTGCAGAGTAAATCTCTAATCTTTTAAATAACTTCCTGCTAAAGCATAGCTTTGATGTTGCACCTGCAGATTGTTTGTATGCAGTTTTTTAATCTTAAATCAAAGACGGAAAAGATTATTTAAATGTGACTATCACAGACCTTAGTAGTAGAAACTGTTGAGAAATCTCTGTGTAGCTATTTTCAGCTCAGAAATCAGAATAAAGGAGTCTCTGTGCACTGGGATAGTGCAACTTTTTGCTTTAATACTTTACAGATTTTTGGAACAAAATGCTCCAGAACTGAAAAGCAGCATTTTTTGCTGACCTTGTTGGAAGGCTAATGCTTCTTTCTGGGAAATAAATGAAACAAGCAGTTCTTTGTTGGCYGAAGTGGAGAGAGAAAAGGAGGGGAGCCCAATCTTTTTTTCTTTACAGTGTCATGACTCATGAGTCAGAGCTGTAGTATGGCTGGGGKTTTTTTTTATTTTTTTGGTTTTTTTTGGTTTGTTTTTTTTTTAACCTTTGTAGGCATTTGTTTTTCATCAGGCTCTGTTGCTCGAGACCTGGCACTGGCCAGTTCACATGAATTTGGTTCTGGGCTGCCTACAAACAGAGCAGAAAGATTCACAGTTGCATCCAAACCCTTCTGATGCTAAAATAATAAAACTTGGTGCAATCAGTTCAGTGCCAGAATTGTCAGAAATGATTGACACTTGCATATTGTGGCTTCTGCAAATTGCAAAGTCTCTTGTCCAGCAAAGTCATATCCAGCAAGGTCATGAACAGAAAGGTCTCTTATGATGTCAGGATACCAAATTCAATAGACTACCGTTATTAATTTAAAAGCAAACAAATGCAATAAAATATTTTTTTTTTCCCATCTAACTGGAAAAAGAAAACTGCACAGTTCTAACTTGTACCCAGCACTCATTCATGCCTTTCCCCTGCCAGCACTGCTGTTGGTAACTTTTCTGGGCTTTGTGACTGCAAAGTTACTGCTGAGTGCTGGTTGTAGTCTTCCTTTCCTGTAACCAGCTTATTTTCCCACCTGGACTCCTCCATAAGTTGCATATGAGCAGTTTCATGGCTGTGCAGTTATTTTTACTGGGAACTGATCTAGCCAGAGATGCCTTCTTTCCATGTTTTGCTTTGCTGTGTGGCCACAGAAATGCTTTTGCATGGTCAGTGAAGGGGGTRGTGTGTGCAGCTGAATGTGGAAGGGGTGGTGAATGGTGGCATTCTGCTTTCTGGTGGAAGTGTGATGTCATTTGTGTGGACACAGCTGTTTGTGAGCACACGTACACCGACGCCTGGGGAAAGGTTGGATTACTGCAGGACTGCTTTTAACTTGGATTCTTTCTTGAGCTGCATTTGCCACTGAAGCTTAAATAGCACCCAGCTGCACTGTCATATGGWTCCACAGTCTCGGCATACTTGACCCGCATGGTGATTCTGGATCATCCAGAAGAACAATTTAATGCAGAGCTGATAGGAGCACATGTGAATGTATCTGTCAAACACAGCAGGGCAGAGTTTATGCTGGCTTAATGCCTGTGTGCCAGTGTTGCTGCAGCTGCAGAAACACAAGACAGTGCTTGATCTGACAGAAAACTGGAGAACGTMAAAATGTTAACTTGGAACTGGCAGAGCACGTGAAGGTCAGCATTTTGAATTGTATGGGTATCATACATTTGATCCGTGCTGCARAATGAACCCATTTCCTACAATCACGTGTGCTGTGTTCTCCAAGGTCAGACAGGCACAGCAGAAATGTGTTCAGGTCTTGGAGATGCAGAACTGGGATGAGATTTGGTTCTCATATGGTAAGAACAAGGAGTGTAAGATAACGAGGAAGATAAAAAATGTAGTTCTTTGAAAATATTGTCTCTTTAGTATCTGAGGTGCCCTGAGTTCTTTCTTTCCCCAGTGCTGAATGCCCAGCCCCAGCTCAGCCCTGTCCTCTGTTATCTGAAAACACACCAAGGTATATAAAATACCCGAGGTACCATGAATTCTCTCTTTGCAGTGCTGAATGCCCATTCCCAGCTCAGCCCTGCCGTGCTGCAGCACACACTAAGGTATATAAAATA